CTGTTCAGGCTTTACTACTCTGCTTATAACACTGGCCTTGTAATTAATAATGGATATTTTGACACTTCACACAGAACCGACATGTGTTATGGAGACTGTACAGTCATAATGAGTTTTAGTTTTTTTCATGTCTTTTATTTTTCCCTGTCTCATAATGATCACTTTATATCTGAGGATTTTCTATGTCGTCCATCAGCAAGTGAAGGTTATAAACTCTCTGATGAAGGGTGGTAAATGTGTAACAAGGATGATATTGTGTTGTCCACCGCAGTTTTGGCTGTTTTTTTACTCTCGAGGCGTGTCCAGCTGAATTGAATCAGCTAGTCCTCTGGGGTGTATAAAAGCAACTAGTCTCACCGCGGCAGCAGTCGCGGGAGCCTCGTGTGAAGATCGCCTCATGTGAAGACCGACGAGTGTAAAGACCATCGACTCTACCTTCTCGACTAAGACCGACGAGTGTAAAGACCATCAACTCTACCTTCGCCATCGACTCTACCTGCGCGACTCCACCGAGCAAAGACACAGACAAAGCACTTGAGTGCTTTACTTTCTTATTTTACTCATCTTTACACTTATTTTTGTTTTCATTGCACTTTTATTATGTGTTTACTAATTCCTGTTGTTACTAACACTCGCAAAACACGGGAGGTACGCTGCAGGCGTAATCCTCACAACCTTCGTTCAATACATGTATCTGCTATTTCACAACTCTCTCTCTCTGTGGGCCTCTGGAATTGTCAGTCAGCTGTTAACAAGGCAGATTTTATTACCTCCATAGCTACATATTCTGACTATAATCTCATGGCTCTAACTGAGACCTGGTTAAGGCCGGAGGACACTGCTACACATGCTACTCTTTCTGCTAATTTCTCTTTTTCCCCACACTCCTCGTCAGACAGGGAGAGGTGGTGGGACTGGACTATTGATTTCCAAAGAATGGAAATTTACTCTGAGATCGTCCCTGCCAACAATCAGCTCCTTTGAATTCCATGCAGTCACCATTATCCACCCCTTCTAAACAAATGTGGTTGCATCTACGGCCCACCGGGTACATTAGGTCACTTCTTAGATGAACTGGATGTTCATCTCTCATCTTTTTCTACTTATGACACTCCCTTGTTGGTGCTAGTTGACTTCAACATTCACATTGAGAGACTGCAAGCTGCTGACTTTCAGACTCTGCTTGCCTCTTTTGACCTCAAAAGAGCACCTACTTCTGCTACCCACAAATTAGGTTATCAGCTAGACCTTATTTACACACGACATTGCTTTGCTGATCAAACACAAGTAACTCCACTACAAATATCGGATCATTTCCTTCTGTCCCTCAGCATCCACATTACTCTTGAGCCACCACACACTCCAACACTGATTGCCTTTCGCAGAAACCTACGCTCTCTCTCACCCAATAGACTATCTACCATTGTTTCAGACTCTCTTCCTTCATCTTGCAAACTCTCTGCACCTGATACGAACAGTGCCACTGATACACTCTGCTCCACACTAGCATCATGTCTAGACAGATTATGTCCTCTTGCATCCAGGTCAGCCCGTGCCAGTCCTCCTGCACCCTGGCTCTCGGATGATCTCCGTGAGCATCGCTTAAAGCTTCGTGCTGCAAAGAGAATTTGGCGGAAAACTAAAAATCCTGCACAGCTCTTAACATACCAAACTCTTCTGTCTTCTTTCTCGGCTGAGGTTACTTCTGCAAAGCAGACATATTTCCGTCAGAAAATCAACAATGCTACTAATCCTCGCCTACTTTTTAAAACATTTCCTCCCTCCTCTATCCTCCTCCTCCACTCGCATCCTCCACACTTACTACTGATGACTTTGCTACATTCTTTTGCACCGAAACTGCAAAAATCAGTGCTCAATTTAATGCACCTACAACAACCACGCAAGATACACCCTCAACACCACACACACTCACCTCTTTTTCTCAGCTCTCTGAGGTGTCCAAACTCGTGCTATCTAGCCATGCAACCACCTGTCCACTTGATCCCATTCCCTCTCATCTCCTGCAAGCCATCTCTCCTGCAGTCATACCAACACTGACTCACATAATTAACACATCTCTTGACTCTGGTTTATTCCCTACTTCATTTAAACAGGCTAGGGTAACCCCACTGCTAAAGAAACCCAACCTGGACCATACGCTACTTGAAAACTACAGACCGGTATTCTTGCTTCATTCATGGCCAAGATTCTGGAGAAAGTCGTGTTCAATCAAGTCCTGGACTTTCTTACTCAAAACAATCTCATGGACCACAAGCACTTCGGCTTTAAGAACGGCCACTCAACTGAGACTGCCCTGCTCTCGGTCGTGGAGGATCTCAGACTGGCTAAAGCAGACACTAAATCATCAGTCCTCATCTTGCTGGATTTGTCAGCTGCTTTTGACACTGTAAACCACCTGATCCTGCTATCTACGCTTGAGTCACTGGGCGTTTCGGGCACTGTTATACAATGGTTCAGATCTTACCTCTCTGACAGGTCATTCAGGGTGTCTTGGAGGGGAGAGGTGTCCAACCTACAGCATCTAAACACTGGGGTACCTCAAGGCTCTGTTCTTGGGCCACTTCTCTTCTCCATCTACACATCATCTCTAGGACCAGTCATCCAGAAACATGGATTCTCCTACCACTGCTATGCTGATGATACCCAGCTATAACTCTCTTTTCATCCTGATGATCCCTCGGTTCCAGCTCGCATCTCAGCCTGCCTGTTGGACATTTCACGCAGGATAAAAGATCATCATCTTCAGCTTAACCTTGCCAAAACGGAAATGCTTGTAGTTTCTGCCAACCCGACTCTAGACCATAACTTTTCAATCCAGATGGATGGGGCAACCATTACTGCATCCAAAATGGTGAAAAACCTTGGAGTAACAATTGATGACCAACTAAACTTCACTGACCACATTTCTAGAACTGCTCGATCGTGCAGATTCGCACTCTATAACATCAGAAAGATCCGACCCTTCTTATCTGAACATGCAGCTCAACTCCTTGTTCAAGCTCTTGTTCTCTCCAAACTGGATTACTGCAACTCTCTACTAGCTGGGCTTCTAGCTAACTCTATCTCTTCAGCTGCTCTTTAGCTTCAGCCTCTTCAGCTGCTCCAGAACGCAGCAGCATGAGTGGTCTTTAATGAACTAAAAGAGCATGTCACTCCGCTGCTCATCCGTTTGCACTGGCTGCCAGTCGCTGCTCGCATCAAATTCAAAGCTATGATGTTTGCCTACAAAGCGACTTCGGGCTTTGCTCCTTCTTATCTGCTCTCACTTCTGCAGATCTATGTGCCCTCCAGAAACTTGCGCTCTGTGAATGAACATTGCCTCGTGGTTCCATCACAAAGAGGGAAGAAATCACTTTCGCGAACGCTCGCGTTCAATCTGCCCAGTTGGTGGAATGAACTCCCTAACTGCATTAGAATGGCAGTGTCACTCGCTGTTTTCAAGAAACGACTAAAAACTTAACTATTTAGTCTCCACTTCACTTCCTAATCTGCAATTGCCTCTCTGGATATACCATTAACTGTACTCAAAAAAAAAAAGAAAAAAAAAAACTTTTTTTTTTTTACTAATACTTTCCTTCTAAGACTTTACAGACCTGAAACTTGCCTACAGCACTTATTCATTGTTGCTCTTATAGTTGTGTAAATTGCTTCCTTGTCCTCATTTGTAAGTCGCTTTGGATAAAAGCGTCTGCTAAGTGACTAAATGTAAATGTAAATGTATACTAAAGATCAAACATTCAAAGTATTTTAAATAAACACTTAAGAGCTAAACTGTGTTGTCCTAAGCCCTAGGAGATTATTACCAAAAATACAACAAGTGACCAGGCTCTGATGTGTGTTGTTGACAGAAAACATATCCATAAGCAGAGCTTTCTCCTGATCATGACAGAACAACACCTAAAACCAATTATCATTTGAGGAATGTTTGTTAATTATTAGGATATGCAAATCTTTTGAATATTCATTCATTTTTATTTTGTATATTTTGACATGTATTTGTTTTATTTATTCATGATTCATTTGTATTTTGCTTCATTTATGTGTGATTTTTGCTGTTGTGTTGCCTGCTTTTAAAGCACTTTGAGAAAAATGTTTAAACATTTATTTATTTATTAATTATTATTATTATCAAAATATCTTCAAAATTAGCAACTTTAAAAGAACAAAATGAAGACAGTGGAGTGGCCTAGTTCAAGTCCTGATCTAAATCCCATTGAGACGCTGTGGCATGATCTTAAAAAGGCAGTTCAAGCTCAAAAATCCTCCAATGTGGCCGAATTACAACAATTCTGCAAAGATGATCGAGTCAAAAATCCTCCACAGTGCTGTAACAGAGTCATTGCAAGATACCAAAAAAAACGCTTGATTGACGTTGTTGCTGCTAGAGATGGCTCAAAGAGCTTTTAGGTTTAGGGGGCAAACACTTTTTCACACAGAGCTAGTAGTTTTGTATTTTGTGTTCTCTTAATAATAAAACCTTACTTTCAAAACTGCATGTGTTTACTTGTGTTATATTTGACTAATATTTAAATATGTATCTGAAAAATGTAAGAGTGAAAACATGCCAAAAAAAAAAACATGTTTTCACACCACTGTTAGAGACTCTTCCATACTGTTATTTAAAAGTAGCCATAAAACCTGTCATAAATCTTCTGAAACATACAGTGGCATGCCTAGTCCAGACCTATTTAAAAATGGATCTTACAAATCCTCTTTATACGAAATTCATAACTAATCATTACAACAGCTCAACTTATAAATTGCTCCCACACATCATGGACATGGACACATAAAACGGATCAATTAATCAATGTAGCATTTACCTTTAAAAATAAAGAAGACAAAAAACAAAACAAGCTTTCATTACCATAGCAATTAGAAACAGTAGACAGCAGGGATCTTTTTTTTTTTCATGAGAGTGGGCGGTAGATGGGTCGGTCAGTCTGATCCATACACTATAAATGAAAGGACAGAAAGGAGAACAGAACAAACTCCTAACAGGAGGAGATTCAGTCATGGCCTACGAGACAGAGGATCAGAAGACTCAATACTGCTTTCCTAACATCAACTCATCATGTGTCAAGGAGAAACGCTCCATTCGTGAATATATCATCATGTATCTGTTTTCTTCATTGCTGTCGGTATGGATTGTGTTTCTGAACCTGCTGGTGATCATCTCCATCTCTCACTTCAAGATGCTTCACACTCCAACCAACATGCTCATTCTCTCTCTGGCGGTAGCTGATTTGCTTATTGGACTTATTCTGATGCCCTTACAGGCCATCAAACAGATTGAGACGTGTTGGTACTTTGGAGAGACTTTCTGTGGAATCCATTTAATAATAATTGGGCTTATTTTCTCAGCAACTTTCAGTAATTTGGTTTTAATTGCTGTTGATCGTTATGTGGCTGTGTGTCACCCTTTACTGTACCCACGGAAGATAACCACGGCTAAAATGTTAATGAGTATCCTTCTGTGCTGGCTTTACTACTCCGCTTATAACACTGGCCTTGTGATTAATAATGGATATGCTGACACATCATACAGAACAGACATGTGTTATGGAAAGTGTACAGTCATTATGAGTTTTAGCTGGTTAGTCACTGATCTGTTCATGTCTTTTATTTTTCCCTGTCTCATAATGATAACTTTATATCTGAGGATTTTCTATGTCGTTCATCAGCAAGTGAAGGTTATAAACTCTCTGATGAAGGGTGGTAAATGTGTAACGGAGGGTTCAGTCAAGAGGAAATCTGAGAGTAAAGCTGCTCTGACTTTAGGAATCATTGTGACTGTTTATCTGCTTTGCTATATCCCATACTATATCTGTGCTTTATCTGTAAACTCTGTCACAGCTATTAATGTTTTAGGATGGATTGTGTATGCTAACTCAGGTGTGAATCCTCTAGTTTATGCTTTATTTTACCCCTGGTTTAAAAAGACAGCTAAAATTATCTTAACTCTGAAAATATTTGAGCCAGCATCCTCTCTGATCAATATTTTTAAGTGAAGATGAATTGTATTTAAAGTGGTAAAGCTGTTTCTCAAAGGTTGATATTATTATTTGTGATTCTATTAATACTGTAAATTAATATATAACATATGATAATAATCACATTTAAACATAAGTCAAACTTATACACGCTTTTAAGAATAATAAAAATAAATTGGCAGTGATAATATTGTTCCATTTGTTTCTAACTTCTGCATTTATTTCAATGTGTACATGTGAGGTGTTGGAGATGTTTGAGGTAAACAGTAGCAAATCAATGATGTATCAGGCTGTTCATTACATTTTATTGAGCCGTCATGTTTTTTTTTTTTTTTTTCCCAATTCACAGGTCACACACGAAAGCTGAAATCATTTTATCCAAGGTGGTAATGCATCTCTTTAGTGTGTGTGAGATTGCAATGCTTCACACCATTAATGAGCAGTTCAGTGAAGGATTATGAACAAGAACAACATCAATAACACATGAACAAATCATAAAAGTTATAGTTGCTCCTCAGAGTTGTTCCTTCATTGATGTTTTCATTAATCATTAGTAGTAGTAGTAATAATAATAATAATAATAATAATAATAGTAGTAATAATAATAATAATAATATAAATAATAAGAATAGTTTGTCCTTATATAGCGCCTTTAAAACTTAATTCTCAAAGCACTTTACACAAAAAAGACAGATATAAAACAGATTAGTTTAAACAAAGACAGACCAACCCGTGTGACTGCCTGGAGAGAGGCCTACTGTACCAACACTGCCATTTTACAAGCCCACAGTACAACATTAAAACAAATGATATCTATTTTGTCATGTAGGAGTAATATTTAAAATAAAACAAGTGAGCAGGCTCTTATGTGTGTTTTTAACAAGAAATATATCCACATTCAAAGCTTTCTCCTGATCAAGAGTGACAGCAAAACACTTAAAATCCACCACTAAATGAGGAAAGTCTTTCATTTATAAAGGTCTGTAAATCTTATGATAGATTTGCCAGAAAAATACGAATATTTCATGTCATCATTCAGCTTTATCACTGTAGTGCAGTGAAGGTACTTATTTCAGTCTTGACATTGATACTCACATTCAATTCCCTGACAAACCCTAAAGACTTTTCCATGCTATCAAAACAAAAGTAAAGCAGCATAAATAAATAAATATCTATCTATCTATCTATCTATCTATCTATCTATCTATCTATCTATCTATCTATCTATCTATCTATCTATCTATCTATCTATCTATCTATCTATCTATCTATCTATCTATCTATCTATCTATCTATCTATCTATCTATCTATCTATCTATATATATTATGTGTCAATTTTTTCATCATCATTAAGCATAAAGCAGCATTATATGAGTTCCATGACAGCAGTTCTGATAATTAATAAATTTTTTTTTTAAAGTGACATGATCTGAAAGATCTGTTTATAAATGTGTCTGAACCAGGAATGTCACAATCTATTTATCCTTCATCAATACAATGGCATGTGAAAGCAGGTGTGTTTTGTGATTTAGTTTACCTTTAACAAAAATAACTGATTAAATATTAAATGACATATTTCAAAATGTGCAGCTTCTTAACCTCCAGTGTCTAAATATAAAAGATGTTGCAATTTAACTGCAGATTAATAATTCAATGTAAACATTTAATCAAACACACAGATATTGGTGGTGTATGGTGACCTGATTGTGGTTAACCGGAATTGAAGGAATGTTCCTGTTGTGTTTTAACAGCTATTTTTAGACTATTAAATTGTTTAAAACTGCAATGCAGAAGAGGATGATTCACAATCAATTTAGTCAGACTATAACTGGATATAATGTACTGATGGTTTTCTGATGTTATTTGTCGTGGTAACATATTATGGCGTGGAGGCCAGATGTTTGTATGAGTAGAATACTATGGCAAGAGGGGGGTGGTTGGCCAGCAGACAATGGCCGAAAGCAGGTTGGAAGACCGGCGGCTGAAAAGTAGGGCAATCAGAGCTATGATTAACTGCGGTTTCTTCTCAGTGACTGGCTCAGAGAGAAGCTTTTTTCCCCTTCCCTGGATATGACAGCCCGAACATTGCCAGTTTGGGACTCTATGCTTTCCAGCTCGCAGGATCGGTGCATTTTGTCAAAGGCCCACAGAGCGCGAGAGAACGATCTCCTTTCTCTCCCTCTCGCAGTCCCTCCACTGCAGTTTGGGTGCGAGACCAGAGCGAGTCTCTCGCTCTCCCACGGGACCCCAGCGCTCCCCGGGCAAGCCCACCCACTCCACGCTGCCTTACCACTGGCATGTCAGCGATCGTGCGGGCAGGTTCACTTGCAAGGGCTCTGCCTGCCTGGTTAGCGCTGGCCAGCCCGTCACAATGGCTTATCCGTGCAATCACTCGGCTATGCGATACAGTTCACCTAATGGCTTCCTAAGTTCAGGGGCGTGTATTTCACCGGGCTCAGTCCTGCGTACGCCCCTGACTTGCGAGTGGAGATTGCTGTCCTCCTGGCGAAGGATGCAATCGAGCATCCTTCGCCAGGAATGCACGAACTTCGAAATGCTAATGCAGAAGCGCATCAACCGATGCATTCGTCCTCGGGATTGGTTTGCAGCAATAGATCTGAAGGATGCGTATCTGCATGTCTCCATACATCCACGCCACCGGCAGTTTCTGCGGTCTCGGCAGAAGGGAAGTGCCGTATCTAAATGGAGGTTGGCCCACTGGAGAGTGAATGCCATCTCCCTCGCTTATCTAAGCCGGGGTGAGCCGTGTCCCCCAGGGGTGAGAGTGCACTCCACACAGAGTATCGCATTCTCTTTGGCGTTAGCACGCGGCGCCTCTCTGACAGACATTTGCAGAGCTGCAAGCTGGGCAACAACCAATACATTTGCTAGGATTTACAATCTGCGAGTGGAGCCGGTTTCCTCAAGGGTATTAGGTAACCCTTGGTGATTGAGGAAACAATTCGGTTGGGGTGTTTAAACACGCTTTCTGCGCCATTCTCCCTAACACAGAGGTACGTGTGCTTTTTCAGCTTTGTCAGTTAATTTCCCCATTCGGTGAACCCTACAGAGTTTCTTCGAGGCCCCCAGCATCTTACTCAGCAGAGGAGTCAGATGTTGGCCTGTTACGTTGTTGGCATGCCCGCTGGTCAGCCCGCGTTCTGGGTATAGGTGCCTGCTATGTGTGATCCCCTGCAGGCGATCTCATAATCTCACTCAACCACGGTTTAGTCCCTCTTGTACCCCTTCAGACCCTGCGTCCATTACAATGGACATCACATGACATCCCATTATTCTGAAATTTGGAACATAATTCAGGTCTGAAGGGGTTAAGGTGGGCTCATGTCTTCCCTCCCCGCAAACCATCCTCTTATGTACCCCTCCCCCGTTTCCGGGGCTGGGCCACAGGCTGTCACCAGGACTCCCCTCCTTGGGTAGCAGGTGAACTCCGCAGCGTCCTCCCTATCGAGACTGAACGCTTTCCCAACATACTGTCGTATTAAAAACCCTTTACTGGGTTATTTTCGACTCCCCGAAAAATATAGCTAAACCTGAACAGGTAATTAAGGTGAGTAAGGGCCAGGGGACACGTTGGAAGACTGCATCTAGCGTCGTTGTAGGTGCGCTCGCTCTACTGCATGGCGCACCCTTCGCCAGGGACGCCGTAAGGTGCTTTCGTTGTGCCGTTTTCCATAGATTTCCCCATAGTGGAAGGTTTTCCACATAGCATTGGAGTTCACCATCCGAAGGGGAATGTTGTGGTTGCTAAAGTAACCCTCGTTCCCCAAGGGGAGGAACAGAAATGCTATGTACCTTCGCCACAACGATTGTCCCTTAGCTGTTGAGTGTGAAAGTCTCTTCAGCTCAAAAGGATGTCGAGCACTGCACTAGCTGCGTCTTATATAGTTGACTGATTGTCATTGACGCCAGCTGTGCATGCTGACGCCGGCAATTCATTTGGCATTTCCTTGGCCCGATTTTATACTCTTTCAGATGATTGGTTTCTGACGAAAAACCAAAAGTAGAAGGTTTTCACATAGCATTTCCGTTCCCCGCCTCGGGGAATGAGGGTTACTTTACCAACCGCAACAATATAATTTAAAGCATTCTTTTGGTGCTGAAGCCACGTCTATCTGCATTAATAAACAGTATCGTTGCATTAACCTTCATTGATAAAAAATAAATAAAGCGAAACAAGAGGGACCAAAATCAGCAGGTCTAGTGCCCCATATGGGATTAAAATTCCCTCTCAGTTATGACATTTTGGCGCCGGGCCTGAAACCATCAAAGTAGAGTCGCACTAGTCACAATTCAGCTGAGTGCACATAAGCTTACTTTGGTGTGCTACAAGAGTATTGCAGTATGTAATGTGGGTGGAGTATCACTGCTTAACCCTTCAGTTTAAAGCTCTTTACACCTTAAAAATAACCCAATAAAATAATTAAGAATGAATAAAATATAAATGTAGTATTTAGCTTGAAAAATAGAGAAGAAAAAGTATTGAAGATCAAAACAAGCTTGCATTACTATAGCAACTATAAACAGTAGACTGGGAGGATTTCTTATTGTTTAATCATTTATTTCTTTAACATTTGATTGGGCGATGAGTGATGCAGACACTGTATAAATGAAAGGACAGAAAGGAGAACAGAACAAACTCCTAACAGGAGGAGACTCACTCATGGCCTACGAGACAGAGGATCAGGAGACTCAATACTGCTTTCCTAACATCAACTCATCATGTGTCAAAGGAAAACGCTCCATTTATGAATATATAGTCATGTATGTGTTCTTTTCACTGCTGTCAGCATGGACTGTGTTTCTGAACCTGCTGGTGATCATCTCCATCTCTCACTTCAAGAAGCTTCACACTCCAACCAACATGATTATTCTCTCTCTGGCGGTGGCTGATCTGCTTATTGGACTTATTGTGATGCCCATACAGGCCATCAGACTGATTGAGACATGTTGGTACTTTGGAGAAACTTTCTGTGGACTCAATTCAATAATAATTGGGGTGATCTTCTCAGCATCTTTCAGTAATTTAGTTTTAATTGCTGTTGATCGTTATGTTGCTGTGTGTCACCCTTTACTGTACCCACAGAAAGTAACCATGGCCAAAATGTTAATGTGTCTGTGTCTGTGCTGGCTTTACTACTCTGCTTATAACACTGCCTTTGTAATTAATAATGGATATTTTGACTCCTCACAAAGAACAGACATGTGTTATGGAGACTGTTTAGTCATGATGAGTTTTAGTTGGATACTCACTGATCT